GATGTCTCGTTTTTTCTTTTAATCCTGCAATATCTCTCAGGTCGTTTTGGATCTGAGTCTAGTGTTTTTCTAGTATCAAATATTTTTTAAATTTAAGAAGAATACGACAGAATTGTTGTCAATATGCAGGAGTTCATTTGGGTATTAAGAGCCCTTCAGTTTGTTAAAACGAGGGCAGGATTGAGACATGAAAATACGAAGATAGTTTTGCGACACTTCATTTGTAATCTCTTTTAAATAATTTATAATCTTTTACAAAATCCGTCACGAGTAAAGCAGTTTTTATCTTCTTTAAAAGAGCTAGGATTATTGACACCTATGTAAATCGATTTAAATAATTTTCATGGATAAATAACATTTTAACCAAAGATACTTAATATTAAAAATTGTATTATACGTTACAATAATGCACTAAGAATTGTATATTTAAAGAAATGTATATATAAATAAATAAACATATAACTAGGTTATAAGGTAAACTAGTTAGCATCCATGTGGCGCTAGTATCGCTCACTTAGAACCAACTTGATCGTAACTTCTGAAAATAAAATAATCTAAAATTTCTCTAAATTTCGGAAAATTGCAGAGTAAGTGAAAGAAATTAAAAAGATATTAAGCGAATCTCTAGAGTTCCCTTTCACCCGTCGAAAAATACAATTTAACAAGTACGTTTCAAAATTTCAGTTCTTAAGAAGCCGGAAACCTTAGGAGAAATTTAAGAATTAAGTAAAATACGAAGCTAATCGAGACTGTTGAGGATTAGAAAGTCGAGAAGGAAATGAAGGAAATAACCATTTTTAACACTTCATTTATTTCAAATTTCAGAAATTCTCTAAAATTTTCTTCTACGGGGTGTCAAAGTTTATTTGAAAAGACCTTACCCAGGGTTAGAAACTGCGAAAGAAAATCAAGATTCAACTTTCTTCGCTCATTCTCGGTCGGATAATCGGAGCTTTGAAAGCTCGCGAGACGAGCGTATCGCCCGCTGTGCAGTTTGCACCGGGCGACAATGTAATTGCATCGATTCGGCAGTGGATATAAAGAGGTGCAGCTGGCTTGCAACGCACCACATCGCCAGCATGGCAATGCATCGTCTGTCCCTTGCCCGTCCTCTCCTTTTCATACGCGCCCCACTATATCCAAATACGGCGGTCGAGCGTTTATGGAGCGTTGGAATAATGCGAGTATCGTGCGAAGCGCACGCAACGATCCTCTCGATCTGTGGCAGACCGCGAATCGTGAGATCGAGGATTGCGCGTTTGAGAATTTTCTCTGATCGAAAGTTGTACGTTTGCCATCTTTAGTTAGTTAGTAGTATATTTATTTGAGAATTTTCTCTGATCAAGAGTAATACGTTTGCCATCTTTAGTTAGTTAGTAGTATATTTATTTGCAGTCACGTCGGCATCTCGCTTAAAGATTTCTATCAATGAACTAAAATTCTATAATTTTTAAATAAGATGTCTCAGACGTATGCTATTAATGAGCGAAATAATTGCAATTGGACGTTCTTTGCTTTAAGTGAGCTTTTGAAATCAATTGGTATATTATATTTGATACTAGTTTAGTTGACAGCTGGACAATCCTAGAAGATGTGGTTAACTGTTAAATCGAGTGTATCTTCGTCGACATCAAATATTTATGGGTTAATTTTGAGAATAATCCGGCGATTAAGTTCACTATTTGCTACAAGTTTGTTTCACTATAAATTAAATTCGAGCATTATAACCGGTTAAAATAGACTTGTTAGGAAAATGTATAATTGGATCGTCATGATCGTTGCAAAAATTGGTTGATATGAAACGTTGGATATATTGTTTTATACGTATTATACTTTATATTATATTTTATGCATCGTATTTTTCATATTACGTATATTTTGCATCCTAAAATTTCCCATGAGCGCACGGGAATTTAAATTTAATAAATTTAAATTTACAAAATACACACATATTCGTCTTAGAGTGCGTTCTCATTACAATATTTTAACCGTTCGAAATTCATTCGTATTTAAAATAATGAAATTTCCATCTTTTTTTTCACAAACCATTTTCCCAATTCCATCGTAGAGAATATGAATATGATAATCGATTTCTTAGTTAACGAGCGTTAAGGAGTCTTGAAGTTAAGGCAACGAACGGCTCGATTCCTCTTCGCCGCGGATATAAAAAGATTCCTTCTCGTTATCCTCGCGAGAAATTCGCGAAAGGTCGACGAGCCTTTGCCCGCGGAACAATATCAGCCAAGGCGCCTGTTCGCACGTTTTACGTGCGCCGCGAGCGGATCCCATGCGCGTGCCGACTTTTATCGACGGCGTAAATCGCGGCGAGAATCCTTTGCCGAGGATCTCCAAACTTATTTACATATATTCAGCTGTCCGATTCTGAAACTCTCCGCCTCTATTTATATACCTTTGTGTTACGTTACGCGTGTCTCCCCCGTATCTAAATCAGACCTCAGTGACAGTGGTCTGCGTAAATCTTAATGAATTTATTTATGGAAGGAAAAGTCAGAACTGTTTGGAAACGATTGGGTACTGAAATCATCAGAACGATGGAAACTGAATTTACTTCGTAAATTGACAGTAAGAAAACTCGATTCCTCTGAACGACTCTGAAGTGCATTTTGATAGATTTGTTTACGAGAAATTAACAATGGGATCTTGAAATTAGCGAAACTGAAGAATCCCTTAAACCAGCAAAGTCTGAACGATTTTAAAAAGCATCTTGATTAATTTATTTATGAAAAGAAACTATAAATGTTTTGAGAAAATCCTAGAATCTTTTGAACAAAATTGAAAATAAATCTATCTTAATACAGTGTCACAAATACAGCTCAAAATTGATGCATTGAATATTTTAGATTTCTGAGTTACAATTGAGGAGGGAAACAAATTTCGAAGTATTGTTTTGATAATTTCGCAAACGTACATGTATCCTATAACTGCAACTGTTACAATAACACCGAAATTTATATTTCTCTCCAAGTGCAATTGAATTGAAAAGAAAAAGAGAAAAAAAAAAGGATTAATCAAAGGAAACGTAATTGAAAGAGAAAACATACACACACGTACGTGTGCATATATTTTATAGCCCCACAGTTCCTCTTTCTTTCTTTATGCACGAGTGACCCTGTCGCTACAACGCCAGTCGTGAATTAAACAAAAAGTTTCATTTAAAATCTCCGAGTACTCACGGACGGCTAGCGTACTCTCATGTCTGACTTCTACGAAAGAATCTCGTCTTAACAGACACTCGACTGGGCACGCATCGTACTCGAGGGAGTCGTAAAAACGATCGAATCGCTTGTACCAAACCGACGAAACGACCGAGGTTTCGCGGGATCTCGCGTGGAACTCTTAATTACGCCAGCGCGATATTTCACGCGAGGTACTTGGCGTTGTAGTTTCTCTTTGAAAGAAAAAAAAGAGGAAGACAATCGTGGAAGCGGGAGTTATTGTCCGTTAAGAGAGAGAAAGAGAGAGACGAAAGTTGTCTGGGCTAGTTGGAGCGACAAGCTTGAAAATACACGGGACAAGCTTTATTGGGCGACACGCGGCGCGTTTTCTTGCCGCGAGGATCTTTTTTTTTTTTTTTTTCTGGCTGGTGGCGTGGAGATCTCTCGCCGGCTAAAAGGCGTTTACGTTTCCGCGATTGCTGAAATAAAAGGCGCCCGTGTATCGAAAGGACGCCAATAAATTGCTCGGCAACGAGCTGAAACACAGGGCCGCATCGGGCTTTCGTTTCCAGTTGTGTCCGAGTTCCAGCGGAACGTTTTTTTTTTTTTCTTCTTCTTCTTCGTCTCGCCGACCCCGTGAGGCTCTCGCGAGTCGCACGCTCTACGGCGAGTACCAGCGAGGCCTGTGTATCTCCCCTTTGTTCCGATGATAACACGTAAAAGGCGATTCCAATTTGTTTACCAGGCCGTTTATCGCGGAATCGGGGCTCGCCCCCGTCGCCTCGTGAACGCGACCGATCGCAATTAACGAAATTTTCTGCTTCTCCTAGGTTCGCCGATTCCACGACGATGAATAGAGCGATCTTTGTGCATTTGTGGGTAACTTAAAGATGCACATAGTGTGCCTACATAATAGGCAAAGATGTATGAAATATTCGTGTCAAGGTATTATTAGCACATAGTGGGTGAAATAATTTTTAGAATTTTCTATATTTAGTCGTGCTCTGTTCAATTCTTTAGTTCCATGATTAAAAATGTCGAGAATATATCTTTCGCGACGGATCCTAAAGTCTCGCTTGGATTAATTCATTTGATTGATGATTTTCGTGACTTGAATGGAATTTCACTTGAAATAATTTTGAACATTTCAACTGATCTCCTTGATTCAAAAGCAGAAGTTTCTTTTAACCTAGGGTAATCTTTTATTGTGGCAATTAAATGCTTTTGTTGCTGTCACTTAGAACGCAAAATCTATCAGTTTAACAGTCGGTCATCACGAAATGATGATTTTCAATTTTCTACAAGCCACAACATTTCCACTTTCGCGAGTTATCAATTCTCGTTGCTAAATTTCACAAAAATAATCCCCTTCCGTCAAGTTTCTTAGAGAATTCTTACCGACGCTCCAACATCAATCGACGTCTACGCTATGATTAATTTTAATTGTCTCACAAATTGTGATTGTCGTCTTTGTCACTACCACGCGTACGTGTAAATAAATTCTTTGCCGAACTCGTGATTCATTCGTCATACCAACCGTCTATATTCACCGATTCTAAACCGTCTTTGGGCTGCCGGATCGATCTGGAGCAAATTCGTGGAATTCTTTCGCGATAGTTCAGTCGACGCTGGACTTTTGAGAAAGCGGGGAATAGTTTCGGTTTCGAGAAGAAGAGGACGTCGTCAGACGATTCTATTCGAGTGACGCGACGCGATGCGACGCGACGCGGCGCGGCGCGGCGGCGTTGAGCAAAGTCGGTTCCGGGATCCGGATATACGAGAAGCGTGACAAGTTCGCTTCGACCTTTTATGGGTCGAACTTACCTTGATGTCCAAATGGGCGATATTTCTCTGGTGGAGGTAGGCAAGTCCTTCTACTAGCTGCCTCACAAAGTGTACCACGTCACCTTCGAGGGGCACCAAATCGCCGTCGATGAGCGTCTGTAGATCGCCACCAGGGGCGCTGGAAAGTTCAAAGTTCAATGAATTTTCGTCCGTTGCGAATGGCCGATCATTTACCCAGGTTTCTACGTTTGGTGGAAACGATGTTGATCGAAACTTTGAATCGTCGTGAAATAATAATCAAAGTAATAATCAACGCAAGTGATTGAAGTTCATCGAGGAATTCACATGCTTGGCAAATCAAAGAACGCTTTGACCATTTTTCATTGTTGTCCATACTGGAATTTCATATAATTCAAGATATATCAAGAAACAAAAGTTATATCATATAATTTGCTGTGCTAAGTCATAATCGTTAATATTAAATGCGTATTTATCTATCTTTCTCATAACTTTAGGAAAACCCAATGTTATGCACGTAAGGGCAATTTCTACTAATTTTTTTATACTAGAATATTTCTTTCCGGTTTCATTCACTTTTCAAACACAATGAGGCACAAATGTAAATTTATTTCACCTGTTAATTACACAATGAACCTAAATAATAAATTCTGTATAATTGACATGTAATAATATCTTGTTGTTACACAGTTGTAGTTATTGAGAACTTTGATTTTGCTTCTCCGATGTTACTTGAACATACAGACGAATTTTACGAGGTCATTACATCGCTTTCACCAAATGCTTACACACGTCTTTTCATCAGAGGTACTCACTATTCCATGACGAGGATAATTTCTTTGGGCGTCTCGTAGACATCGTGCAGTCGAATGACGCGAGGCGATTGCGAGCAAAGCGACAGCAAAGCGATTTCGTGTCTCAGCTCAGCGCTGCAGTCCGCGTTGAATCGGTTTCTTGATGAATACTTCGCAGCGTAGAGTATACCGGTCGATCGAGATCTGCATCGATAAACTTTCGCCCATTGTCCGCTGCGAAATAACATTAAATTGCTTGTCAATCATCGATGATGAGTAATTATCAACTTGGAAAGTAACGTTAAGCACTTTAAGATTATTTTCTAATGCAATGAACCGCAATTTTTTCTGCCCCCTATATCATTGAAATAAGTAATGTTAAAATACAGGTATCTGAAAAATGAATTAATAATCAGCTTAAATCGAATTGATCAACTCTTCGTTTCATATAAATTTTATTAAATATATGCATAGTTAACATTCAACGTCCAGAAACAAACGTGGGGATTACTTTTACGAATTTATTCATTGCGAGGCAACAGTGTAAAAAAATAAATTTTAAGAAATAATATATTTTTATCGTCATTTTCTTTCTACTCTGTTTCAATTTATGTTACGTTTCTCAGATATTATCCAAATTACTAGGTTAGTGCGTATGAAATGTATCTTTCTTTAAAATATCGTGCATTCAACCAAGTAATTTCCATGTCGGTAACATCCATTCCAGCCTCTGTTCACTATTAATCTTAACCTTCTCTGTGTAATTTCATTGTGCTTCCTTCTTGTACCTTGTGCATTTGAGTCATCCAGAAGCCATATTGATCAGGTCCATAAATCGGAAGATAAAGAAAAATGATGATTGTAGGTATATTATTCTTCAAAAACCTGCCTTGGAATTTGCGATTATATATGTATAATCTTCGTGCAATAAATAAAACTTATGGCAATGAGTAAATTTGTTTTTCGAAAAGTTCAACAGCAATTACGCTGTATCACAGTAAAGTTGAGAAATTCGGAAAAAAATGGCTGATGAATATAAAAAATTTAATTTAATTTGATTATAATAGTAAGAAGAAAAGCTGGACTATTCTTAAAATCAAAACTGCTCCATTATTCAAACTGTTTCGCTGCTCAATCTATTCCAGATGAGAGAAAGGACCCACATTGATCAAATCCATCGAGTCCAGGTTTTATATAAATAAATATAAATAAATTGAGACAAATTAAATTAATAGGATGATTAACTAGCGAATCAGTAATATCAAATCTATTATTTTTGTTCCTCAATTTATTCTGAATAAGAGAGAAGAATCACATTGATTAAATCCAGCTTTTAGACATAAATGTATATAAATTAAATTAAACTAAATTAAATCGATAATAAGAGGAATTGAAGCAGTTAGTTAGTCAGTCAGTCTTCAGCATACAAAATAATTTTGTTCCTCAACGCTGTTTCGAGTAGCGAAAGAAATAGCCATATTGTTCAAACTCATTCCATAAATAAATATAAATTTAACAATCGAATTAAAATAAATTAAATTAATAATCAGAAAAAAACGAAGAGACATGTCTAGTGAATCGTTAATATCGAAATGTTTGTTCGATTATTAAATTCTCTGCGATGAGAATAAAAGAGAAACATTCTGCCATAATTGATTGAAGAAAGGCCAAGAGACAAAAGTTGACGCGATCCAGCGAATGATCATCGAAGCACGCAAGATTCGCAAAAGACAAAACAAGAGGAAAGTAGCCGCGAAATTTTGTCAGTGGCCGTCAGTGGGATTTTTACGATCGTCTCGAAGAATTCTGAGCGTCTCTCCGCTCGACAAGGTCGACGCCGCGGCGCCTCGCAAGGCTGCGCCCGCGACGCGTGTAAATCGACGCTACGAACCGACCGCTTTTACGCGTCTCTGCCTCCGGTATCTTACGCCGCGAACTTTATTGCGCAAACATCCCACGACGCGTTATATAGTCGAACGTCTTCGTGGTTCGGAACTCTCGTGCTGACCGCGTTCTCGAAACTTCGAGGCACGAGCTGCAGAGACACAACGTCATAGTCCGTGACGATTAGTACTTCTTCTTTTTTTTTAAATTTTTCTAAGTGTGTTAGAAACGTTGCGACAAATATTTTTAGAGTTTCATGCCGTTTGTGCCAAATTTACGCGAGTCTGCGTATTGTATTTGCAGCAATAATCTGCACTATCATTATATGCAGAAAGTAAGTTATTATTTGCGAAAGTAAAATAAGCTTCGTGTATCGTTATCTAATTTAAAAGTAAATATATGACAAGCATATTGCAAATGAACACAATTTCGCTCATTAAAATTTCATTCGAATGAAATTCATAAGCGGATGAACAAACAGAGCAAGTTTGCTGTTAGTGCGTTGAAAATGTTAAAAACTATTGCAGAATTTTTATTCAAAATCCACACAATCCACAGGAATATTGAACATTAAACATTCAATTTTATATCACTTATTACGATAGATTTGGCATACGTCGCAATCTCCATTTAACAACAGTTCTTTCAATCGCTTTAATTCGCAGAAAAAAAAAAAAAGTATGACACTGCATAAATATCCGCAGTCCAAACTGTTGCCTAAAGAAAAGATTCGCTCTCCCGTCGGAGAGTGTCCCGGAAGCGTATTCGCGGCCCGTAAATTTCCAGGGAGAAAGTAGATGTCCTTGCGAGGCAATCGACGAATCTCCCCCTACTCCACCCCCTCACCTGTCCCGCCTCCCCCCCGCCCCCTGTTGGTATCGCAATTTCACCGACGTCCTTTAGCCAGAGTAGATAAGCAACGGCAGTCGTAACGAGCATCTGATAGTGGGTGCAATTAACTTTAATCGTTTGCAATTTGAACTTGCACCGGCGTGCACCGGACTGACGGGTCTCGATCTTCCAGGCCGGTCACCCTCTCGCGGCGCGAGCAATTTTTGCGCCCCGTTTGCCGTGGATTCAAGGCCCGTTTCTAAAAGTAATTACCAGGTGTGCTCGGTCGGGTCGCCGGTTTCCACAGCGATGCCGAATCGCAATCACCGCTGCATTGAATCACCTGAACGCGAACGCGAACACGGTGGAGATCGTGGATGCTATATACGGATGCTCGATCGGCTTGTGCGTTGTTCTTGACAATCGGGACGATCAAAGCGACATCGATGATTAACGAGCGATAGAGGAGATATGCTAATTCTAGGATAATTCAATCGTCGAGAGAACTTGAAGCCCTGGGGGGAGATTTGAGGCGAGTCGAAATAATCAAAGATTCTGATAATTATTTTTATTCGATCGTCAAAGACAGCTGAAGATCCGGCACTCTTGAGAAAATTAAACGATCTGCCTAACTAGAAACGTTGCCAATTTCATGACAATTCGAACATCGAAGCGTCGAATCGTTGGTAAAATGAAGTTTTATTAATATCAGAGTCAAAGATTTTCAAAGGGAACTCAAAACTGCGGAAACTTTTCAGGATGATCTCTCTGCCGCGAATAATGTATTCCTCGTTTCGCGTGCCGTGCAGAGCGTTTCTTCTTCTTGCGCGAAACATCCGTTTGCCTTTCGCGTCCCGATCCCGTTTTTGGTTAGCAACCGGCAACTCGCTAACGAGCCGGTCGCGGCTCAAAAAAACCACCCTCTGAAGCTTGCTAATTCGAGGCGAGTAAGTTTCCAGATACAAAGTTGCGACCAGCTGGTATCTCGAAACGATTTTGTGCCAACCATCGAGCGAATCCGCTTCGTTAAAGATGCAAAGTCACCGGTGAGAATTGCTACCACTGCCAATGGATTACCCGATATGCACTGCCCGCAGTAGCTCACGCCGTTTAAACATTGCATCAACATACGAAGGGTCCATTAAGTTTTAGCATTTAACATCAGAGAATGAAAATTTATTTCTCCTGGCAGAATTTTAAGAGAAAAATAGGATGCAAATGCTTTGTTAGATCGACATCAAGCTTCGATCAGATCATTTTGAAAAGAGGATTTGAAAATTTTCAACAATCTCATTCCTCAACGATACATTAAAAACTAATTTATAAGTACAGACACACTTCGTACAATTGTCACTTGTAGATTAGGCTCCTACAATTTTGTACAATTTTATTAACCGCGACGTTTTAACCATTACTGAAAGATTTCATCTTCTTTTATTCAGAAGGTAGAAATCTTTTTAATTAAATTAAATACCATTTCAATGAAGTTCAAATAGGAATAATTAAATTATGTTAAATCAAATGATACTTTCGTTAAAATTGTCGTTAAAATTGGAATTAAAATTGGGATGCGAATGCTTCTGAAACATCTTACTTCGCGAACGGCTTCGGATCGATCTCGTAATGCTCGGTGATGGGTCCAGTCTTGACGACTCTGGCTAGTTGCGCCTCTTGCACCAGTACCAACCCCTCCTTCACGTGTTTCTCGCTCCACTGCACCCTGCATCTTCCCCTGCATCTCTCCTCGTTGCCAGTCCTGTCGCCTGCGCGTTTCGCTTTCGCGTTCGCGCACTTCGCCGACGAGGCTTGCAAGTTCCGACGCTGCGGTCGCGGCGACGTCTTCCTCGCGGACGACATCGTCGGTGACTGATGATGATGATTCGGCTGATAAATCATGTTATCCGAGGGTTCCTCTCCCTTCGTTTTGCCACGAGAACTTGTTCAACGAACGCGATCAAGCATAACGATAAGTACGGAGCCCGCTCGAGATGGGCGGCTCGCTTCGACGATGCGGTTTGGTCGATCACGATCACGATCACGCGGGACTAAAGGGCATCGAGCGCTGCAACAACAGAAATCGCGTCGTTAAAAATAACATTTGAGCGTGGATGAAATTTGTCGGGAAAGCCATTTTTTTTTTTTTTTTTTTTTTTTTTTTTTCGAAAATAACAGCTTCGATACGTAGCCGAACTGTGACATGATGTTCGACCCCGGTGAACTTTGCGACAAACTTCAGGGCAAACAACATCTGTTTTTAGCAAACAAATTTGTTTCAGAGCAAACAAATCCGCAGCTAGAGTTGAAAATTTTGGCTCGAAGAGTTTCAATGTTTCGCGAGTGAAGTGATTGTTTCTTTTTTTTTCACATTCGTACCCTAATATTTCTTTTTTTTTTTTTTTTTAATTTATGATTAACGTCGCATCTTACCCTCTGGTCATTAGCGACGGCTAGGTAGTATCTCCTTCATTTCAAGACGATTATATCTTATGGTAGATGTTAGTTTCCTATAGATAATTCCGGACATTTCCTATGTGTTTTTGCAACGTCAGGGCTGCCGGTGAAGTTATTTTGTATTTTTGCCTTTTGAGCGTGGTACTTGCTGCATTCAAATAGAAGATGATTGCTTGATAAAATTCGGTTGCATTGGATACACATTGGGGATTCTGTTTTTCTTTAATAGATACTCATGTGTGAGTTTGCAGTGTCCTGTTCTAAGCCTTGTCATGTCTTTTCTTTTCATGTTGTTGGTAGGCATTGTTTGATAGAAATCTTGGATTATATTATGAGTTTTTGTTTTTTTTTTTTTGGAGGTGTTCCATATTTTGTTCCATAATTGTTTTTCGGCATGGTGTACCCTAATATTTGTATTTTATGGTCCTTGCAGATTATTTTTAATTTCTCATTCTTGCTTCCTAATTGAATCTTTTGTGCCAATAGTTGAAATAATTCGAACTTTTTACGCTCCTAAACTAGCAATTAACATAATTTTTTATAAGACAGATCAAGTATAACATTATACAAGATATGATGTACAAAAATAACATTGTATTTGTTAAAGTTGTTAAAAATAATTGTTTTTACCATTTCTTAACTAATGAGAATGCAAATTTTGTAACTGTGTGTTTTATAACATTTCACACGACTTTTAATCGGTGCCCTTATGGGGGTGAAAAAAATCCATACTATTTGTAAAATTTTATTTTCCCGTGAGTCGTACAATTCGTTCCAAAAAGTTTGGCCAATTTTCTTATTGTATGTAGGTCGAATTAGCGAATTTAGCGAGTTCTTTTTCCGCCATTCGATTTTTTGTTAAGCAAAACGTTATGCATCCTAATCGGTTTTATCCTACTTTCCCCTAAATGATACTTTAACCATTGTTTCCTACGAGACTTGGAGGACTGTTTAGAATTTTGGAGCAAAAGTGCTCGGCAAAAGTATTTGCACGAATTCTACATTAACACGGGCGGTGTTAAACTTTTGACCTAACAGTTATGTTAGTCGTACGATTATCGGAACATTTTCTTCTTTCTCGAAAGAAAAAAATGGGACTTTTTGTTTCACGTAAGGGAAGCTTGGATAATTTTGAGTTCCTTTGTCCATAAGGAACAACGGCGCAGAAATTAATCGTAAATCGTGTACAATCAACGAATTTACAAGGAATTAGAATTAAAATAAAGTGGAGGTTCCAGCATCTGAATTAATATGGCGACGTGAGAATTTTCGGGTAATTGGGACGCTCGTCTTTTCTTTTTATATTTAAATATAGAATTATTTAAGACAAATTAAAAAAAAAATTTTTTTTAAATTATTTAGTTATTAATTATTTAATTATTTATTCCGCATATTTTTCCAACAAATCACTCGTCTATCGCGTTCTTTTCCTTTTTAAATACGAGATTATTTATTCCGTATTATTTTTCTAACAAATCATTCGTTTTCTTTTTTGATACTAGACTATTTGGTTCGTATATTTTTCTAACAAATCATTCGTTCACTGCGTTCGTTTCCTTTTTTTGATACGAGAGCATATTGCTGATTTTTCGTATGTTGGCCGAACAAACTTGATCGACTAACAGATCGATTAACAGAGGCAATTGTGGGCTTTCTCTTGCGCGAAGGGAAATCATTGGAGCACTGTCGCCAAACAGGAAGTCACCCGTACGTTCACTCTACCAACATCTCTCTACCAAGAAATTTTTCAATCTCTTTCTCCGCGATCTTTCCAAAGAGGAATTTCAAAATTTCGAAATTAATACGGATCGTTGGCGAATCTCTTCGAAATCTTTTACGATGCTTACGACTTTCGTCAAATAATCGATCAACCAGTCTTCACCCGGATGTTAAATTCATCCAGGTCAAAGAAGAAAAAAAAAAAAAAAAGAAAAAAGAAACTGTTCCAAAAAGTCGGAAAATTCGGTGGAATTTCGTCCAAGAATACCGTCTTATCCGAAAAAGTCCAAAAGAAAGAAATATAGCGCAAATGGTATTTACAGCAACGAACAAACCGTACACGGTGGGTTTGTTTTAACGATCGCCGATACGTTATAGCAGGCGTACGGCATTTCATACGATATATAGCGCCGTTGGTCGCTCGGACAAAACCGTCGAATAAATTCCATTAAGAGATTTCAAAGCCGCGCCACGGTCGCAAAGAAAGAATCAGAGCGAACGAACGACCATTTGAACGACAGAAGAAAATATACTGGCGGTGTAGGGTTGGGAAAAGGCAAAGGAAAAGGAAAAAAGGAGGGAACGGGGGAGAGAAAAGCGTAGATTGTCTCCGCAAGTTGTGTCTACGATAGGTACAACCGGAGGATCGAGGTAACGGTTTAACCCGGACACATGGCGGTGTACGTATATCGTTGGTACCGGGTATGGAGAGACGAGATACGCAAGTATGCTTTCTGTATAGATACGTGGTGGGTACAAGGTATTTCAAGGTGAACTTTCAAGCACGCTTGAAATTTTCGTTGTAAAATAAAGAATTTGTTTAAAAATTTGCGGTCAAATTTATGGGCCAATTTATAGTCAACCAGCGTTCGTTGTTAATCAACCAACTCCATTTTGCACGAGATCATGATTTTTTTTGACGAGAAAGTAATGCTGCTTAAATCTTCGGGAATGAATTGGATCCTGAAGCAGAGGATTTGTTTCGCTCATTAAATAATGCCTTGAACGAGAACGTATTGGTAACATTGGGGAAGATCCAAGCAAGTAATTCCTGAATATTAATCGAGGCATTTCCAAACAGCCGCGATGGGGATCAGTTGAATTGCAAATGTATGTCCTTTGCATATCCGCGATCTGATGATTATCGTCCAATTTCTCAGAAATTTTCAACCTTTAATCTTCAAAACCATGGTGGATCTAGTTAATGAAAAAGTGATTTTTAAAATGATTCTAGAGACGGATGAACTTTTATCGAGAACGAAAGTAGCCGTGTTTGAAACACGTGAACAGTCAGGCATAGTTTTGAGACTAAACGAACATTTCTCGCGAAGTGATAATAATTTAGAAAACACATGTTGGATGTATGAACAGTTTTGCAATTTTGACTACAACTAACAATATTTGTTTGTCGTTACTACTGCCATAGACTTATTCTCGAAATATTATAGAAATAGCGACAATTTATGAACCAGTCTGAAAAGTAGCTATTTGTGGACAGGCCAGACTCGTTTGATAAGATTTGAAAATGTTTTGTCGATCATTAACAATCATAGACTGAGAGGGACGCTTGTCTTAACACCTTGCGTTTACAACTGGTTCGCGGACCATAACGAGTGACCGAACCGTATACAATAATTAGTCACTTTCTTTTTCTTTTAAACTCGTCGGTATGAATAGAAATTATGATAAATTCGAACTCACTGGATTGAAATTATTAAGAAGTAATAAACTTATCATTTGTTTTGCCTGAGTTATACTTAAATATACTTAAAACTAAGAGAATGTTGCAATTTGGGACAAATAACTGTCGGCCTGCATGGCGCGTCATTCAAGCGCAAGAGGTTAACAACTGAGAATATCAAAATGTTTTCTGCTTTCTTATTCTCTTCATTTCTCATTTTAAGTTAGCGTGGCCGTCATTAACCTCGTTTTTTTAAATATTCGCGCGTAATATAAATAAATATATTGCTAGATTTAACAATAACTATTTATTTTAATCAATGAATAACAAGATTTTTGTGACGACCGATTTTTGCTTTGATTGATTATTAACCACTTGCGCTTGCGGCAACTGATTGCGGACCATAACGAGTGACCGAACCGTATACAATAATTCGTCGCTTTGTATATCACTGGCTAGAAATTATTAAGAAATAATAAACTTATCATTTGTTTTGCCTGGGTTACATTTAAATATACCTAAAACTGAGAGAATGTTGCAATTCGGGACAAATAATTGTCGACGTACGTGGCACGTCGTTCCAGCGCAAGAGGTTGACAACTGATAATACCAAAATGTTTTCTGCTTTCTCATTCTCTTCATTTCTCATTTTGAATCAGCGTCGCCGTCATTAACTTCGTTTTTTTAAATATTCGCGCGTAATATAAATAAATATATTGCTAGATTGAGCAATAACTATTTATTTTAATCAATGAATAACAAGATTTTTGTGACGACCGATTTTTGCTTTGATTGATTATTAACCACTTGCGCTTGCGGCAACTGATTGCGGACCATAACGAGTGACCGAACCGTATACAATAATTCGTCGCTTTGTATATCGCTGGATAGAAATTATTAAGAAATAATAAACTTATCATTTGTTTTGCCTGGGTTACATTTAAATATATACCTGAAACTGAGAGAATGTTGCAATTTGGGACAAATAATTGTCATTCCAGCGCAAGAGATTAATCTCCAATCGTTGCCTCACGTGTCGGCACGTCGCAATGTTCCATCCGGAATCACAATGTCCCATACGTAGCACGCGATACTTGCCCAAATAAGTCGTAGCTGATGCTTAAGTGTCCTTGATAGCATGCGGATTGGATGCGAGTCGCGGTAAAAGGATCGAACAAGTAGACGTGAGCAAATTTAACCGCGGTATG